CATCAATCTCCATAAGGAGTCAGTTGTTCCACTATATTTTTTACTTTGCCACTAGTTTCTTTTGGTCAATTGGAGCAAACAAAACTCCCCGACACTATACTTTCCGGCAAATACTCTAATCCGCTATCTATATCTGTGTCTACAATGTGTAAGACTTCTAACTTGATTAAATTTTGTAATGGTCTTAAAGAACCAGCAAAAGAATTATTAGAGATACCCAACCATTCTAAATTAATAAATCTACTAAAAGGAGTTAAATTGCTTGCTAAAAATTTATTATTAGATAAACGCAATTCTCTTATTTTATTATAATCGCAACTATCTAATAAAGAACTAAGATGAGTCAGTCGATTATTTTCGCAATTCAGCTCGACTAAATTATTACAGCCATTGATAATGAGATTAGCAAGTTGGTTATTACAGCATCTCAATTTTCTTAATTGTCTGAGATTATCTAATTCTAAACTAGTTAATAGATTATCAGAACAATCAATTCGCTCCAACTGGGGACAGTTACTAATTTTTAGCGAAGTTAACTTACTATAACCGCAACGTATATTTTCTAAATTAGTGAAATCAAAGATATCCAATTTTCCTTCGAGTTTTTTGTTTCAATTTCAAATATTTAATTCTATCACTTGTCCCCTTTTTCCTTTTGGATAATTCTCCTCGAATCATTCTTGGGCATTTACCATAATGATTTTTTACTATATATTATACATTTTTTTCTCTTTTAGAGAATCCAATCTTATAAAAATCTCTCTTCTTAAAGTTAACTTAACACCCGAGAATAAACGAAATTAAGAGGATTCCTTCTGTTAATGGCGTATTTCTTTTTCCTCCGTAACCCTAATTGCTCAGCAATTTTTCTCGCAAAAAACACCAAAATTTTTCTAGCTGATTTCTGGATACGCATTAATAAGGGAATTTGCTAGCATTTTTAGCTAATTTTTTTAGTCCTAAAATTGCGAAAATAAACACTGTATAATAAAATATATGATAAACGAAAATACTGCTGGAGAGCGAATTATATTTACCTTTGAACGTTTAGGGGAAGACCAACAATTTTTTCGAATTTTGTTTGTAAAGCCTATTGCTTTTTCGGATCAGCAAGTTCATTCCTTGTCTATTCCTAAAGACAACTTACGGCCAATACGAAGTTACTTAACTGAAGTTTTGCAAGCCGGCCAAAAATACGAGTTTTCGGCTGGAGCCAATTCCCAACTGACTAGCGAATATGGGCATTTAAATTGAGCAGGAAGAAGTTTTGAGATAAAATTATGCGATCAAAAGGAAAATCTCGAAAAAGACCGAACAACTAAGCAAAATGAGGAATCATCCACTGAAGAAGAAGATGATTTTGTAGTCAAAGAAATAATTGCTTTTACCGTTAGACAAACTTTTGATTACCCGGATAGTTTTAACATTAGATTTGCCGAAGAAATCCAATATGGCAAAAGAAAAGTAATCGCCCTGTCCATTTTAAAAACGCCATCCGGAGCAGATTACCAGCAAAAATTATCCATTTTCAAACACGACCAAAGATTTCAATTTCTCTTTCCTGTCGGAAGCATGAAAATCAAGGAAAATTCCAACTTTTCAGAAACTTTCTATTTGGAAACCACTTTCAACAACCTTCTAGAAATCAAAAAACTTGAGAAAGAAGCACCAGCACATTTTTCAGGACCAAGTACTAGTCAAAAAGTAAGAGCAAATAAAGCAACCAACCCAACTTTGGCTAACCAAAAGCTCGCCCCAGATAACAATTGGTTCGAATTTAGTCGCTGACTAACCGATAAGGAAATTGATTGAGCCTTGGACCAAGTAGTAAGCCAACTAAATTTGCCTTATAACCAAGTTTCTAAGTTCAAAATTTTAGAATTAACTCAGTTTATGTTTGCTAAAGAAACCTTAGACAGCAATGATCCAGCCGCTAGATTTAGTTTCCCGGTTCTACTTAGTGAATTAACCGGATTTAATGGTAATTTAATCTTTATCCCTATCAATAACCCAAACTTTCATTGAAGTTTGCTAGTTTATGAAAAAGCCAGCCAAACTTTTTATCACTGAGATACTTTACGAGGAAATCCTAATCATGGTTACATTAAACCTCTGGTTGGGGATTTATTGCAACAGTTACACCAAAATAATAAGGTTGATTTAGAAAAATACTTGATTTTACAGGATGAAATTAAACAGCCTAATACTTGAGATTGTGGAATTGCCGTAATCGAAATTACTAGACGAATTATGGAAAAATATAACGGTGGTTTGGAAGGCATAAATTTGGGCAAATTCGACTTTCCCCAAGCCCAAATTAATTGAAGAAGCGAATACGAAAATGAGCAAACAAAACAAATGGCTGTTGAATATCAAACCCAAATCCAAACCCCACCTAAATCTAATAATTAGTTATGACAGAATTAAGGCAAATAAAAAACAAAGAACTTTTAAATGAATTGCAAGCCAGAATGCAAGCAAATACAATTAGTGAAGAGGAAATAAAAAAATCCTAAGAAGAGAAGCCTGAAAAAAAGCCCTTAAATTAATGAATGAAGACCAAGAAAGGAACCAAGAAATAGCCGAATGAGATAAAATAACTGCCGAAGACTATCAAAGATGAGTCAAAGAATAATCAAAAGAGGAGAAATTTATTATCCGGCAGAAATACTTTATAAAGATGGCAAAATTATGTGCGATCAGATAAGAAGCATTGACAAGCGAAGAATGAGCCAGCATCCCAAGGACTCTTTGCCCAAATTAACAAAGTTGCTGGTTTAACCGAACAATTATCTCTTTTCAAAAATAAACGCTTTTTTCTTTCCTTTGGGAAAGTGAAAAGAAATTGTTAAATCCATCATGTATTTTTATAT